TGGCAATGCTGTATTTGTACACTCCAAGTGAGATTGGATGCTAAACCAGAAGACCTTTAAAATTAAAATAGCCAGGTCATTATAGTGGGTGGGTGTGTCTATATTAAAACTGCTGTGGCAGCTGCCTAGATAAGAGCCCCCGTACAAGACATCCATATGAATGTCAAGATAGGACAAACATCTGTTTGTGGAAAGCATACAAATTTGTCTGAGCCAGCTTTGCCATGCCGCAGTCCCGCTTGTGCATGACAGGCCTTAAAACAACTATCCACAATCCACATACCCCCACTTTTTTGTTAAGTTCAGACCAACTAGTACCCGTCTTATTTAAACTAGTATCAATTTTCCTTTACTATAAAGGGAACAAATTGAGGGCCTCCACCTATTAGTGCATGGGAGGTAGCTAAGCAGTGTAAATGGTCTGCTAAACTTGTCACTTGAACTTATTTGAGGAGGAGGGAGAGGAGGGTTCCCCGCTCTGATGTGATAGGTAAATGGCAAAACACCCTCCACGTCAGGCACAGGTCCCACTTTGTGTGCAGCCAGGCATGAGCACAGCAGCACTGGTGCTGAACACGTGCTGAAAAAAATAAATCTTTGTGAGTGTATTGGACTGCTTTCCTTTCTCAGTTCTGGGAGGTCATAAGTGATGAACATGGAATTGACATCGCTGGAAACTACCGTGGGGACGCATCGCTGCAGCTTGAGCGAATTAACGTGTACTTCAATGAGGCTTACTGTAAGTGCTTGGCCCTGTTAGGGGGTTGGCAGAGGAATTTGCAGAGCCAACATGAAGATTAAAATAAGTAATTTAAAAAAAAAATAATTCCCCAAATCACTGTATATGGGTTGGATTTTTTCAGAACAAATTATAAGCCTGTCTCTTTGACTCCTAACAGTAATTGTTCACATTCATTTTCTTTTGTTCTAGCCCATAAATACGTACCCCGGTCTATCTTGGTGGACCTGGAACCTGGTACGATGGACAGCGTACGATCTAGCAAAATAGGCCCACTCTTTCGACCTGACAATTTTATTCACGGTATGTACAACATGCTGCCAGCAAACTAACTAGAGTCAACTGTCCCAAACTGGCCTTTTAACTCTTTGCAGCCTTTAAAAATTCTCTCGTTAACTTTGTGGCTGTTCTTTCTGTAATTCTGTTCATAGGTAATTCAGGTGCTGGAAACAACTGGGCTAAGGGCCATTACACAGAAGGTGCTGAACTGATTGAAAACGTCATGGATGTGGTCAGGAACGAGTGTGAGAGCTGTGACTGCCTTCAGGGATTCCAGCTCATCCATTCGCTTGGTGGTGGTACAGGCTCAGGTATGGGCACACTCCTTATCAACAAAATCAGAGAAGAATATCCCGACAGGATTATGAACACTTTCAGTGTCGTGCCTTCGCCCAAAGTATCCGACACGGTCGTAGAGCCATATAACGCCATCCTCTCCATCCATCAGCTAATCGAGAATACAGATGAAACCTTTTGCATTGACAATGAAGCTCTATACGATATATGTTTCAGAACTTTAAAGCTCACCAATCCCACCTATGGTGACCTCAACCACTTGGTGTCCCTAACGATGAGCGGTGTCACAACCTCACTCCGTTTTCCTGGTCAGCTGAATGCAGATCTGAGGAAGCTGGCTGTTAACATGGTGCCCTTTCCTCGCCTGCATTTCTTCATGCCAGGCTTTGCTCCACTGACAGCTCGAGGTAGCCAACAGTACAGAGCCCTCTCAGTGCCAGAGCTTACTCAGCAAATGTTTGATGCACGCAACATGATGGCAGCCTGCGACCCTCGTCGTGGACGTTACTTGACCGTGGCATGCATCTTCAGAGGCCGAATGTCTACCAGAGAAGTGGATGAGCAGTTGCTGGCCATCCAGACCAAGAATAGTTCCTACTTTGTGGAGTGGATCCCTAATAACGTCAAAGTGGCTGTATGTGACATACCACCGCGAGGATTGAAGATGGCAGCCACCTTTATTGGCAATAATACAGCCATTCAGGAGCTCTTCATCAGGGTTTCTGAACAGTTCTCCGCTATGTTCAGAAGAAAAGCATTTCTCCATTGGTATACTGGTGAAGGTATGGATGAGATGGAGTTTTCTGAAGCAGAAGGTAACACCAATGACCTTGTGTCTGAGTACCAGCAATACCAGGATGCCACTGCAGATGTTGAGGAATATGAAGAGGTAGAAGCAGGAGCTAGCCCAGAAAAAGAAGCACCATGAAAACAATGGTAATATCAAAACGTTCTCTGCATGACCCTGTTGATGCTCAGTAAAGAAAAAACAGTAGCTATCATCTGTATACTGAAAATAATACCTTTCTTAAGAATTTTTTTCTCTGCATCTAGCCAAGATATATCCAATATTACAATATAATGCTTTTGAAATTAACAGCAGCTGTGCTTTACTCTCCTGAACAACTGCTGTCACTGAATCTCTCCCGAAAGAGCCACTCTGAAAACAAGTTGTCTCGTAACAGCCTTTCTTGTGAATGCATTCACTTTTAGAATATTATCACCAGATACTGAATGTAATATACAACCTCTGTGTCTGTGTGTATATGTGATAATAAGCAACAGCAAAATACGCTATCAACTCATCAAATTTATTTATTCCTAGGTAAACACAATCTGTGTTCTGTTTGTGAACGTGTTACTGGTTTAGGAACACATGCACATCTGCAAGGCCTATGAAGGCAGCTTCTATTTTATTACCCACTCCACAGACTGACCTAGATCTGTGGACAAGTTCAGTTCCTTTAGTTGCATGGGGAGGGGAAACAACATGGGGTAAGACTGAATATGTACATTTTTTTTTTTTAAAGTACTTTAGTAGTTCTATCACATTGCTGGCTTATATTGTTGCAGAGCTTGTATTCGTTATCATTGTGTGGTTTGTTTCCATTTCAAATTATAGACTGAGTTATATTAGCATACAAAGCTGTGAACACTGTATAAAAGTTGTTGTGTGGTATATATTTTCCCCCGTGTACTAACTACTGTAAAATTTCTTCCTATCACTCAGTACAGCAAAACAGATGGAATGGGTTGCAGATGGTTAGATATAACTTCAATAGCAATCATTAAATCAAAGACATACCTTCTCTTCAGGAATCAAAGTTTCTTGCCTTCACAGCTAACTACTTAAGACTGTATTTATAATATTCTTGAAAATAAAGTTTATATACCATTCTAAAAAATACTGTAATACTTGAAACATTTGATAGACAAAAATCATAGCTTATTCGGGTAAGGACTAACTTTAAATCACATGACAAAACTGAGCTTGTTTTATTTTACTCTTAGAAGAGTTTATTATTCTGTGAAGAGAGTAAGAGTCAACAGCAGAAGCACCTAGACGAACACAAACCTGAGGCCAAATCCGTACACGTGCCACGTGCCTTCCTGTGCAGGGGGACAACATTAGACATGCTGCGAAGGCGCACAGCAGCAGGAACACGCAAACGCTTCCCTGCCCAAACTGATAGACCTGAAAGCGTGAGCTAACAGTGTCACTTTCCACTCCTGCTGCTTCCCAGTGAGCCTGTGTCCCTCTCCCTCCCAGCAGAGCAAAAGAGGGGTAACAAGGACAACCAACGGCTGAGTGACCAGAGCACAGCCCAGGGAATCCTGCACCTCCTTCCTCACCTCGAGCAGGACACCAGGTCTCCAGCTCCTGGTTCACTGCTCAGTGCTCCAGGCAGCTTTGAAGATTGGATCCATGGCAAAATATCCTGCTCCAGTTTAGTTTTAACACTAAGTCTCACCAAATTGATTTTCACCGAGTTAGTTTCAGCTTAAACACAAACGGAAGATGAACAACATGACAGCAGAGAATTTTAAAGCCAACAGTGTTCCACTTCCAGCAGAGAGAACTGACAGAGGTATTTTTAATTATCAAAATTATATGCCTATATTCTCTGTTGACACAGGTTTTAGTGAAGAAAACTTTTTACAAAGTAATCATCAGTCACTGAAATGAAGTAAGCAGAAAAGTTTTAAACAATTAAATCTCTCACTCATTGATGTACCTGAAATATCAGCATGAAATCCAACAGGAGATTTGCCTTAAAAATAAACATAGGTTGCTACTGAACAGTAGACTGTGATAGAAAGAGTCTTCTATTTTAACACAAGTGAAAGATAAATGTCTCTGTGGAGTACTTTATTTCAAGAGGAACAACACTTTCCACACATGCATTTGTTTAACAGAAATTACATTTATTAGCGTCCTGATTTACACAGAGCGGCAAGTTTTATAGTTAAAGTGATGACATTACATTGCAGAGTCTTGAGCTTGCCTACAGCTTTGCTGTTTGTTGTTAAGAGTATTCACCACAGATCAGTTCCTATGAGAGATTTAAAATACAAGTTATTCAATTCAAGAATACGTACAAGGTACGCTTCGAGTAAAAGGCAGTAATACTTAATTTCAGATCAGGGATAGAAGCTGTTGCACTTCAAACAAAATTCAGCTGCTCATGATGCACGCAATGTCACAAATAAAGGTACAAAAAGCATTTATCTTTCACAGGTAGTAGATAATCCTTACACAAATAAGTGTGCTGATTCAGGGAAACAGTAGTTCAGGGAGGTCATCTCTTGGCTTAGTGAAGTAAGAGACAGGAAACCTGTGAACATCACTACAGAAGCTAGAGAAACTCAGCTGTTCTGCAGAAGTCCATAACAACTTTGACCAACTCCCAATCGATGGAGAGAACATCTCCTTTTCCTGAATTACTGACATTACACAGTTTCCTATCCCACACACAGTCAGGGTGCTGAGACATCCATGCACAGTGGCACTAAACCAGTCAGCAATCTGTTCCAGTTCCACACACGAACATCAGAGCTGATTTTCCACATGTAGCACGAAGCCAAGCAGTTAGATCGTCATTAACCCGACTCACACTGGGAAACCAACACTCCTCATATTAACAGCTACAATAAGGCACCCCAGCCCACTCAGTTTACTTACAGTTTATTCCTTCTTGGGTTTCACAGTTTTCACATTGGCCATTGCCACCCTCTCTGCCTCTGCTTTGTACTGAGGCTTCATTGCCGCTCTAACAACCTGAGCACAGATCTGGGAATACCGGATGTAACTAAAGACGAGAGAGAAAAGGGGAGAGAAAACGAATGTGAGGATCAAACGCGTCTCCGCCCGCTCTAGAGGCACCGCTGTGACCCCGCCAGCCC